TAATTTAGAGGTGTACTAAATGTCAATGAAATAGCATGAGCAGACAAATTAAAATAAAACATAAAACCATAAATGTGAGCCAACCTACGAAATCCGTTCATAATTATGTAGCTAATTATTCATTCTCTGAGCTCTCCGCTCACCATCCACAGAACAGGGACTCCCCTAACTTCACTAACAAGATTCCGCCCTTTTGGCCTTTGCCTACAAAATCGCACCCCGAGTTAGGCAATTCCCTGGACGGGAATCGACCCAACTTCACAGAGAAAGAACTGAGGACCGGAAGTGACATACAGCGTTTTTGCAGGAGTGGTTCTGTGGGATCCCTCCTGAGTGCAGAGAAGGAGTCAAGTGAGACCCAGAGGTGTGGAGTGACTTGTTCTGTCTACACGTCCTGCCCCTGGTGGTGCAGACCCTGGGCTCCGGGTCCTAAACTTGCCTCTCTTGCCCGCCTGCTACCAGAGCAGAAGGACGGACGGGGGGTGCTTTCTAAAATGTAAAGCACCCAGCACACCGTCAGCTGCTCTTCTGTTGGTTTATTTGCTATGCGGACTCTGGGAAGCCCAGTCTTCCCCAGTATCTTTGAGGCCTCCTGTGATTTGACCCCAACCTACCTGCTTGACCAGCTTCCATAATATAATCACTGGCCTTTCCCAACACACGGTAGGCTCTCGCTCAGCTGTGGGCAAACTACAGCCCGTTCGGCTGTTCTATCCGGCCCGCGGAGCCGAAAGAGCGGAGGGTTCTCTTGCTCTCCCCTCCGCTCCTTCACCAGCAGCAGTGTTAACATGTATTAGTTCACACCAACACTCCATCCATGCTTTTGTTCCGGCCTCCGGTCCAGTTTAAGAACCCATTGTGGCCCTCGAGTCAAAAAGTTTGCCCACCCCTGCTCTAGATGTTAGGAGCCCTTACTGTTTCTCAAACAGGCCCTGTCTTGTCAGTCTTTGCTCCTGCTTTCCTCTTTGCCCAGGATGCCTTCCTTGATGGTGCCCCCCCTGCCCCCACTCAGTCCCCACGGCCCTGACTTTTCTAGAGAGTACTACTGTCAGCTCCTGCTGTGGACTGAATGTGTGTGCTCCCCAAATTCATATATTGCAGCCCTAATTCCCAGTGTGATGGTTTTTGGAGGTGGGGCCTTTGGGAGGAAATTATGTCATGAGGGTGGAGTCCTCAATGAATGGGGTTAGTGCCCTTATAAGAAGAGACAAAAGAGAGATGAACTCTCTCTCCATCAGGAGAGGATGACAGCAAGAAGGGAACCAGCTTCAAAACAGGAAGCGGGCTCTCACCAGAAATGTGAATTAGCCAGAACTTTATCTTGAACTTCCCAGCCTCCAGAACTGCAAGAAATAAGTTCCCGTTGCTTAAGCCACTCAGTCTATGGTCTTCTGTTGCAGGTGCCTGAGCAGACTAGGCCAGCACCTATACAGCACTTTGTAACCCTTTGTAGCTTTTAGCACTATCTGCTTTGCAATGAAGAGACTGGAATATGTTTCTCTGTCTAAACAAGAAGGCGAGAGTGAAGTCCACCTGGCTTTTCTCCCTGCAAGATAGCAGAGAAAGTTCCTAGGACCCCCATAAATATCTCCTGACTCTTACTGCTGCCGGGAACAGATGACGGAGCTCGAGCCTATGTACCCTTCTGTCCCCATCTTGCCAGATTAGCTCTACCTTATGGTGGAGGCACAGAATGTCAGCTTTTTACAGAAAGGCTCTGAATCCTCGTTCTGCTACTCACTAACTGGGTGACCTCAATGTGCTTATCTATTAACTAGGGGATATTCTCTGTCCTGTGAGGGCAATTATAAGAATCAAAGTAGACAAAAACTCTGGCCCTTAAGGAGCTTAAATTGCAGTGGAAGGGAGACTAGGGGTGGGGGGGTGGGAAAACCTAACAACAAATAAAATTTCACATAATGATAAGTGCTATGAAAGAATAAAACCACAGAGGGTAACAGAGGCTCTTGGAGGGTAGGAAGGGGCGATGTTCTGGATGACAGAGCAAACCTGGCACCTGCCGGGGAGAGGCGTATACCTGGAAAGGACAGCAAAGTGTTGAAGGGTTGAGGTATTCAGCCTAAGGCCTTGACCTGGCAGCCTGCCCATCCCATGGACCTTGGACGGGCAGGTGAGGTAGGCTCTGGCTGCCTCTATCCACAACCAAGCAGCTGCCTCCTCCACAGCTCATCCCTGGAGCAGAACCAGCCACAAGCTCTTCATGTCCACACGCTCCTAACCCCGGGCATCCAAGTGGGCTGGGCTGGGAGGGACAAGGGGATCGTTTCTTTGGGAACAGAGAAGCCAAAGGGAAATGCTCCAAGCTAAGTCTGAAGGGTAAAGCTGCCCAGGAGTCCAGGGTACAGACCCCGAGGGGCTCCTGGGCAAGGAGTCGTGGATCTTTTTCTCTCAGCCGGAAAGTTAAGACTTAACAAGGAGAGGCTGGGCAGGAATTTGTGCCCAGAGCCATGCTGGATGCTGGGGTTGATGGGGGAGAAGGACTTGTGATTAGAGCCCATGAGCGTTGACCACTGGCCCCACATCAGCACCTGTCTGAGCACTGGACTCCTCATTCTCTCAACAACCCATGAGGTAGATATTACAGATGAGGAAACTGAGGCACTCCCCCAAAGCCGTTCAGGTCGGGAGTGGTCAAGCTGGTATTTGCACCGAGGTGCTTTCTGACTCCAAATGCTAAAAGAGTGATGTTCCTGCCCTCAAAATGCTCCTGGTCCTGAAGGAGACTGGGCTAAGAGTCTCCATATCTAAACCCCAGAGGACATATGTGGCACCGAGGGGGTGGGCCCTGGGAGGCTGCAGTGGCTCCGCTGCACGGAGCCTCCCCAACGGCCTCGCCTCTGTTAACGGTATTGGCAGCAACGGGGCATGGCACATGCCATGGCC